TTCATGTGTATGATCTCCTCGCCATTCTCACGTGAACTGTTGAGTGGCCTTTGTTACCGCCCCCTGTGCAGCCGTCACCACCACCGATTTCTGGAACATTCTTTTCTTCAACAACTGAGCATGTAGCTTTCGTACCCAAGCCTGGGTGCATCTTCTGTGCAGGATCTTTCTTTCCCTCGTGGACACCGCAGAGGCCTGGACCTTTGTCACCTTTGAGTCTGAGCAGCCATCAGCCATCTCCCGAGATACCGATTCCCTTTCGTCAGATAGTCCGTGTCCACATATCCCACTTTGAGATGGAATTTAACGTGTTTTTTTCCTACACACATGAACCAACTTTTTGTTTTTCTTCTGAATTCTCCTTTATGATCTCTCCAGCGAAGTATTTTAAACATGAAGGGACTGAGTATTTAAAGCATTGGACTTAAGAGCCACATAGTAATCGTCTCTGTTTGCCAACCTGTACTCATTAATAGGGCTGTTTCATTTTTATTTTACCTCGAGGTAAGGTTATTACCCTGTTTCCCCAAAAGTAAGACATGCCCCCCAAATAAGACCTACTTACAGTTTTGCCTCTTGCTGAAATATAAGGCATCCCCCTGAAAATAAGACCACCCCAAAAATAAGGCCCCCTGAAGCTATCTGGACTCTGGACTGTAGAGGCAGGTGCCACTACACAGCTCACTGTCGGCCGCAGCACAGCTGGAGCGGACAGGAAGTGCAAGGTTTCTTTTAATAAAACAATGAACAATAAATGTGTACCGTATTCTTCTTCATGGAAACATAAGATGTCCCTTGAAAATAAGACCTAGCGCATCTTTGGGAGCAAAAATTAATATAAGACACTGTCTTATTTTCGGGAAAACAGGGTAATTAAGGCAGGAGACCCAACTACTCTGTATAGCTTTAATGCCACACATGACTAAGCTATTTAGCCATAAAGCCAAACTCAACCTATTGCCATTGAGTTGATTCTGACTCATAGCTACCCTATACAAGGATTCTGAAACGAAATCTCTAGAGGAGCAGACAGCATCATCTTTCTCCTGTGGAGCAGATGTGGATTTGAACCACCCACCTTGTGGTCAGAAGCCCAGTGCCTAACCCACAGAGCCACCAGGCCCTCTTAATGATTTGGTCATAATTTTTAAGAAATGATTCCAAGGGGATACGTCTAACCCACCAGAGGATGCCCTTTCTCTTCCGTGTCTCTGCTTTTCTCTCTAAGTGGGTTGCTTTGTTGTTATCGCTAGTGATCAGACCAACAGCAGACCCTTGGCGGCCGCACACCCAATGGAGTGAAGCGCTGGCCAGGTCCTGTGCCACCCCAAGGACTGGGGAGTGATTGATGGGGTTTTCAGAAAGTGGTCACCAGGCTTTTCTTCCTCATCTCCTTTCATCTGGAAAACTCTGCTGAAACCTGTTCGTCATCACAGCACCATGCAAGCCTTCCCCGACAGAGGATGCATGGGGGCTGTGCATGAAGTACCCTGGCCAGGAATCAAGCTCGCATCTCCAACGTGGAAAGTGAAAATTCTACCACGGAGTCACCTGTGTTTCTAGGCTTATCGTTGTTTTGCTCGGGGCTGTTGACTCTGTTCTAACTCATAGCGACCCTACGTAAAACAGAACAAAACGCTGCCAGGCCCTGCGCCATCCTCAATAGTTCTTACGTTTGAGCGCATGGGTTATTTTTAGGTTCCTAAGATTCCCCAAAGGAACTCTGGTGGTGGAGGGGGTCACTTCCTGAGCTGCTATCAACAAGGTCACCTGTTCAAACCCACCAGATGCTCCATACCGGAAAGATAAGGCTGCCTACTTCTATAAAGAGTTGTTGTGGCTATTGTTGTTAAGCGCTGTGTTAGTCTGGGAACTTTAGAGAAACAAATCCACAGAAACTCATGTATAAGAGAGAGTTTTATATAAAGGTTAAGTGAGCATCAAGAAAACATCCCAACCCAGTGCTGCCCAAGCCCACGAGTCCAACATTAGCCCATATGTCGGACACCAATCCACAAAGTCCTCCTCCATCTCACAAAACACATACTATGATGCTGACTGCAGGAGGAAAGCCGAGTCAGTGAACGCATAAGCATCTCAGCGCTGGCAGGAGTTGCAGCACGGCTGCTCCAGCACCCAGGGCTGCATTGGGGTAGGTCCATGCAGCTTCCCCTCAGGGATGTCTTACAGGAAGTGAGCCTTGCCAGCTGAAGCAGGAACTGGCTAAGGTAAGGTGACCAGACGTCCCGCTTTTGAACAATTTTTCCCACGTCCCCCAGTGTTTTGAAAAAGTCCTGATTTTTGGAAAGAATGCATGACAAGCTAGGGTATACGGTTTTCGGCTGCCATGTGGCTATTTCACCAGGATATGAGTTTTATCAATGGTGTCCCGCCCTTGTCCCGCTTTACCAATGTTAAAATCTGGTCACCTTAGGCTAAGGCAGCTGCACCCTGGTCCGACCATCATAAAGCAAGAGACCTAAGAACTAGAAAGGCAAAGCTTACTGAGCCATGTGTCTCTCCGCCCTTCAAGTAACCCCACCTGTGTTTATCGGCCAGGTTGGCACAATAAACTGACTACCTCAGGAACGGGCAAATATCGCAGCCACAGTGACCCCGTGCCCAACAGAATGAAATGCTGCTGGCCCTGAGCCATCCTCACGGTTGTTCTTCTGGTCGACCCCATCGTTGCTGCCGCCCCGTGGATCTGCTTTGTTGAGGGCCTGTCCTCTCTTTCACTGCCTTCGGCTTTACAAGCTTGATGGCCTTTGCCTGGGCCTGGTCTCTGCTGACAACAGGTCCAACGTATGTGAGACAAAGTCTCGCCATCCTGGCTCCTAAGGAGCATGCTGGCTGTACTTCTTGCAAGACAGATTAGTCGGTTTTTTGGCAGCCCACAGTACATTCTTTGCCGGTGCCATAGTTCAGATGCATCAATCTTTCTTCTGTCTTCATTATTCAGTGTGCTACTTTCACTTGCCTATGAGGCTGTTGGAACCACCATGGCTCGGGTCAGGCACAGCTTAGTCCTCAAAGTCATATTCTGGCTTCTCAAATCTAAAGGATTTACCCGATGCAACATGTCTTTTGATCTTTTGACTCGCTTCCATGAGCCTTGATTGTGGATCCACGCCAGATTAAATTCTTGACAACTTTAAACTTTACTCCATTTATCATGATGTTACCTGTTGGTCCAGTTCTTGTACTTCTGGGAAGAAGTACAGCCAGAGTGCGCCTTGGAGGCTCGGAGGGTGAAACTTCATCTCAGGTCCCTGGAAAAGGACATCATGCTGGCTAAAGTAGAAGATCAGCGAGAAAGAGTGAAACCATCCATGGGATGGATTCACATAGGGACTGCAACAATGGGCTCAAGCATAACAACGATTGGGAGGCTGGTGCAGCACTGGACAGTGTTGGGTCTGTCATGTATGCCATTCATTAGGTGACTAGAGTCAGAACACTACAGGGCACCGAGCCACAGCCGCAGCTGGAAAGCTGTAGGCCAACGGCCCTGGGTGGTGCCAGAGCCCTGCCCTCAGACGGAGGACGTTGTAAAGTCAATGGGGCAGAGGAAGTTAGGCTAAAGTGGAATTCTTCTTTCATCTCCCTGTGGACCCATTTTCAAGTGGTTTCATTTTTTAGTATTTTCTGCTTGCTTTTCTGTTGAGGTTTTTCTATATTTTGTCTGGTTGTTGTTGTTGGACTTTGTTGGTTGGCTGGTTTGCTTCCCATTTGTGTTTTGTGTGATTTGCTGTATATGAGATCCAGGGTAGATAGAGCTATGCAGACAGTAACGAGTGACCCTTGCCTTGGGGCGTGGCAAGGGAGGCTGGGGCACATGGGGAGCTGACAGCAATGAGTCCAGGAAGGAAATGTTCTGAAGTTGATTGTGGTGACGATTGCACCGCTCTTCTTAACGCAAGGAATGATTCCACTGTGTGATATGTGACGTGCATGCCAATAAAACGATTTGTAAAAGAAGAAGAAAGGTCTGGCAGTCCACTCCCAAAGGGTCAGTCACGGGAACTCTCAGTTCTTCTCCACATACCCACGTAGCGTCGGCCTGAGCCAGGATCGACTGGGGCGACTGGTCTTTCCGAAAGGAACTCAGCCCCACCTTCAGATTCACAGGATGGGCATCTGATCCCTCCATGCTGCGGCTGGGGCCCAGCCTGCCCCCGCCGACTGAGACTGGGCTGGGGCTGGGGAGCCAGCAAGTCGGGGCACAGACAGGGTGCTCTTGCTGCGACTTTATGCTTGGAGAGAGGAGGGGGCCATATCACGTGAGGAGGAGTCCTTTAGCTCTGGGGAAAACAGGCTGACCACCCTCCGGTCGCTGGAGTCAGGGAGCTACAGCCACTTTTTCCCCAGAGGAGGAGGCGGGACTTAGTCAAGAGTCAAAGCACGCGAAGCAAAGCCCTGGCTCTCAACCCAGTTTTGCTATTTGAGCAACCTTGGCTGCTTCCCTGGACGTCTCTGAAGCTCAATTTACACATGGATCAGAAAGGGAGATAATAACATTGCCCACTTCCTGAGTGTCGGCCCTGGTGGTGTACGGGGTTACGTGTTGGGCCACCAACCTCAAGGTCAGCAGGTGGAAACCATCAGCTGCCCCCACGGAGAGCCACAGCCTCAGAAACCCACAGGGAAACCCTGTCACACCGGGGCTCTGTGAGTTGTAATCAACTCAAGGGCAGGGAAGCCAGAGCTACGAATCCCTGCTGGGATAGCAGGCTAGGCGCTGAGCTGCTCACCACAAGGTCAGCAGTTCAAGCCCACCAGCTCCTCCAAGGGAGAAAGATGAGGCTGCCTTCTTTTGTAAAAGTTTAGTCTCTGAACCCCAAAGAGGCAGTCCTACTCGCATAGAGTTGCTGGGAGTCAGACTCCATAGAGCTGCAGCATCGGCGTGTGCTTGGCCCAGGTCAATACAAAAGACATGATAGCAGTTGTCGTCGTCCTTGCTGGCTAATGGATTCCCTTTTCTTCTGCTTCCCCTTCAGGCTGAATTCTCAGAGCTGAACCTGGCTGCCTATGTGACCGGGGGCTGTATGGTGGACATGCAGGTCATGAGAAATGGAACCAAGACTGTGAGGTAAGGGGGCTGAGGAGCAGAAAGCCTGTGACTGTGTGGCATTGCATGGACGACCTACCCTCCTCTAGCCAACTCTAGCTACTGTCTCTTATACCTGCTGTGTGGCCGAGACACGGAGAGACTGTCCACCTTTAAAGAGTGTCCCTGTGATAGGAATGGTGAAGGGTACAGACCATATGGGGGAGCAACAGTGGTGCCCCGAATGAGCCTCAGGCTGGGCACAAAAAGACTTGCTTCCATTTCTGGCTTTGGGGTCTGTTCTGCCATCTAAGCTGGTCTCTCTTGCCTGCCATTTCCCAGCTGTAGCACTGAAAGCAACCTGGAGACAAGGGCTGCTGATGTTTTACGGAAAGTGGGGTGTGTAAGAGCACCCCACCAACCCTAGGTGTTCTTCAAATATAAGGGCATCCCGGTGTGATTCTTTGGTGCCACCGAGCCAGTTCTGAGTCACAGCGACCCCGCATTTAACCCAACCAAACACGGCCCGGTCCTGCCCCAGGCTCACGATTGTTACGTTTGAGCCACTGTTGCAGCCACTAGGTCAACCAACGTCCTCGAGAACCTTCTTCGTTTTCGCCACCCCTCCACTTTAGCAAACCTGACGTGCTTCTCCAGGGACGGGTCTCTCCTGACCACATGTCCAAAGTATGCGAGACAAAGTCTGCCCATCCTTGCCTCCAAGGAGCACTCTGGCCACACTTCTTCCAAGATTTCTTGGTTCTTTTGGCAGTCTGTGAGACTCTCAATATTATTAGGATAAACTAAACTGTTTCGTCTTCTTCCAGCCCTGTGGCAGGCTTAGTGCTCTTAGAGGCCTCTCCCAGTACATCCCACCCCAGAGTACTGAATGCAATAGCTTTGAAAAATCTGTTTATACTGTGTGCTGAGCTGGAGAGGAAATGAAGGAATTCCTCGCCAGCCAGAAATGACCCAAATTATAAGGCCACAGGAGAGATAAATATATTTATGTCTAAATCCTTTCTAGCTGGTTCAACACTGAGAATGATCCAGATGGTGCGCTTCCGTTGTTCACGTGGGGGAGAGAGGGGATTCAGATTTGGGCGAGTGCAGGACATACGAAGAAACTAGGCGGGGTATTTGTTCTGATCCTTGTCCAGTGCTACATCGAGGTTGGGGCTGGAGAGAGCTGACACGTTCAAAGAAAAGGAAACAACCTTTGTGCATGCGGAGAGGCTGTCATTTATTGAATGCCTATTGGGTATGGTAAGGTCGTGGGTAACACGTTGGGCCGCTAACCACAAGGTCAACAGTTTGAAACTGCCACCTGTTCCATGGTAGAAAGACCAGGCTCTCTACTCCTGTCAAGAGTTAGAGTGTCGGAAACACACAGGGGCAGCTAATTCTCCCTTGCCCTGTAAGGTCACAGTGAGTCAGAGTTGGCACTGTGGCAGTGGGTAGTGTGTGTCTAAGGAGCCCTGGGGATGCTTTGAGTCAGGTGTTGGGCTGCTAGCCAAGACGTCCGCAGTTCAACCCACCACCGCTCCCTGGAGAAAGACGAGGCCGTCTGCTCCTGTGCAGATGTGCAGTCTTGGACGCCCTGGGCAGGATCTGTAGGAGTCTGACTCAACGCAATGGCAGTGGCGTTGTTTATTGCGCACAAAGAAAGGGATTGATGATGTCTGGTTTCCAGTCATGGTGTGCTGGCTTATTTGGACCAACAGTAGGTCTTAAGTAAGTCGGATGGAAACCCAAAGCCCATCTGTAGACACTTGGTCATCCCCTCACAGAAGGGTCACAAGGAAGGGACAGGCGAGACAGAGTGCAGCATAGCACTGAGGAAACACACAACATTCCTCTAGTTCTTTAATGCTTCCTTACCCCTCTATCATGATCCCGTTTCTACCTTACAAATCCAGCTACACTGGAGCATGTACACTGGCACAGATAAGAGCTCTCAACACACAGAATCCAGGACAGATGACCCTCTCAGGAATGATAATGGGAGTTTCAATACCATGAGGGTAGGGGGAAGGTGGCGGGAGAAGAGGGAGAAAGGGGAAACCGATCACAATGATCAACGTATCAACATATAACACCCCACTCCACCAGGGGGGCGGACAACGGAAATGTGGGTGAAGGGAGACAGCAGATGGTGTAAGATATGAAAATAATTACAATTTATCAAAGGGAGTCATGAGGTTGGGAGGGCTGGGGTGGAAGAAAAAAAGAGGAGCTGGTATCAAGGGCTCAAGTAGAAATAAATGTTTCGAAAATGATGATGGCAACCTATGTACAAATGTGCTTGATATAATTGATGTATGGATTGTTGTAAGAGGTGTAAGAGCCCCCAATAAAATGAATTATATACATCTTTAAAAAGTAGGTCTTAAAAATAAATTATCTTAAAGCCTTCTAGGACCTGACATGATGGTAAAGAATACCAAGGTGAAAAGGATGGGAAAATAGAAACCCAGGGACAAAAATGAGTACAAAAGCCAACGTTTGGGGTATGTATGTGTGTGTGTGTGTGAGAGAGAGAGAGGGAGCATTCGATAAGTTCAGCAAAGTTGAAAATCAGTTTTAAGAACGAGGGAGACAGAAATCAACTTCTAGCATCACTTAGTGTGGGGAGTTTAAGCAAGACTCTCCCTACAATAAGCTGAGCCCCCAAAGTTCTGGGCCTTTTGGGTGAAGGGATTTACCAGTGGACAGGCCCTCCCAAGGCATGGCAACTGGAATGATAATCATTGGCATAACCCCGAAATCGCAACCCAAACTGCCACAAGCAAAAGCAAATCCTGTGTTTCCATTGGAGGAAAGCGCTGCCATTCGATGATAGGAAACATTCTTCAAATACGTTTTATGAACGGCGGCTAGCACAGAGCCAGAGAGAACTAGGCACGAGACCCTGAGTAAGAAGAGTCGGGAGTAACAGAGAGCCGGAAACCCACCGCCCTTGAGTCGATCCTAACTCACTGTCGTTCTAGAGAATGGCTCCGAGGGCGCCCATGACTACTGGTCTTGGTGGAAGCAGTCTTGTCTTTCTCCCAAGGAACAGCTGGTGGATGGGAATGGCCAACTGTTCGGTTAGCAGCTGGGTCCTTTAAAGACTGTGCCCCCAGGGCTACTCCGAGAACAGAAAGAGACTCAAAGACAGCCAACCCCTGCTTGGTGGCATTTTCAGTTGACAGAGGCCCCACCGGCAGAGCAGAAGTGCCCAAGACTTCCAAGGCTGCCAGTCTTCATGGAAGCAGGTGGACGCAACTGTCTCCTTGGGGTGCCTGCTGGGTTTCTACTGCTAATCCCTCATCTAGCAGTGTAGCACGTACCCTGCCGCCCCACCTCAGTTTTGGATTTTTCAGACACAGAGTCTTAAAAGAAAAGAAAAATAATCAAGACTATATCAAGTTTGAAGGTCCCTGGAGGGAATAGGAGACGTTAACAAAAGAGGCGTGCGTAACTCATTTTAAAGGAAGCTCGCTGCCATGGAGTCAATGCCGACTCATAGCGACCCTGTAGGACAGGGTAGAACTGCCTGGGTGGATTTCCAAGACTAACTGTGCAAGAAGAGCAAGCTGCAGCTTTCTCTCTCGGAGCGCCTTCTAGTTCCAAGCTGCTGACCGTACAGTGGCAGCCAAACTCTACTAGGAGTTCAGAAATGAAAACTCCAGGCCCCAGAATGAAGGCTGCAGTGTGTTGAACAGCATATTAAGGACAGTGGCACAGAGGCCGGATCTCAGGACATAATGGTTGAGAATCTGAGCAGAGAAATGATAAAAGGCCAGAAGTCTGAAGCATCTTCAGCAAGGCCAAGGAAACGGACTCTACCGCAAGGCCCCCTGGTGTCCCTGCAGAAACAAAAAGAACAGCGTCTCACAGTGAGCCAGAGAAGAGAAGGCAGCGTCCTTGTGTGGGAGCAGCAGTCAGACTCGCTGTGGCCTCCTGACAGCCGCGGGGAAGTGGTGCCCTGAGTGGCATGAAAGAAAGTAATTGCCGACCTGGAGTTCTGTTGCCAGGGAAACACAGGGCGTGGATAAAGGCAAAGAGTAGTAACAACCGAGAGACCAAGCAAAGCCCCAAGCAAAGCCCCGCCCTCACTGAAGACCATTGAAAGGGGGCACCACGAGAGAGCTCACAGCCAAAGGGGGCCTGCAGGAGGAAATGACGTGGAAAGGGATTGGTGGATATCCTCAATAACCTTTGCCTGCCAGCAATAATGATTGGATGAATACACATAAAAATAAGTTCTGAGAGGGCAGGGGAAAATGGAATTCAGGTGTTCTGAGGAGCCCTGTCGAGTAGGGGAGGCACTGCTAATCTCAAAGCCGGCCAGACGATCAAACCCACCGTGGAGGCTGTCTGCTCTTAAGAGCCCGCAGCACAGGGGCTCCAGGATAGATAAACCCCTCAGGGCCAATAGGGAAAGTAGAGCTACCAGGAGGTTTAGGGGAGGGGGAATGGATCACTAGAATCAATCTAGAACCCCCTCCTAGGGGGATGAATAACAGAAAAGTGGGTGAGGGGCGATGGAGGACGATGGAAGATATAGAAGTAATAATCTATAACTTATCAAAGGTTTGTGAGGGAGGGCAAGCGGGTTAGGGAGGGGGAAGAAAAGGGGAGCTGATATCAGGGGCTCAAGTGGGAAGAGAATGCTTTGAACATGATGGTGGCATATGAGTCAAGGTGCTTGACGCACTGGATGGATATATGGATTGTGATAAGAGATGTAAGACCCCCCCAAAAAAGTATTTGATTAAAAAAAAAAAAGATTTACAGTCTGAGGAGGGTCAGTGTGAATTGGAATAGACTCAATTGGGGAAGAGGCTCTTACACTGTCAGCCAGGAAAGTAAATAAATATTAATAGTCTTTAGAATGTTAAGGATGCATCCAGCAATTTCTGGGATAATCGATGAGGACCTAATGCCTGGGGGTTAAGTGGAGAGAAAATGTTTTGAGAATGATGTACAAATGCGCTTTACACAATTGATGTGTGTATGGATTGGGATAAGAGTTGTATGAGCCCCTAATAAAATGA